AGCATGTATTTGAATTATAATGTGGCTTAATATGGGTTTTCAATTTTTATGCAAAAGGAGTTTAAAAGGCAATACAATTAGAAAGTTTGTAAATACGAGGGTTTTTCAAAGATTCGTAGACAATCGCAATATATTCAAACTCTTCAGGAATCGATCATGATCAATGATTTTTTTTTTCAGAATATTGTAACCGATATGTACAATATTAATAAAATATATAAAATCGTGAACATAAAAACCAAATAAAATATGGTTTTATTCAATGTCCTGACGCTTTGCGGCACAGTGAGTAAAATTACAATTTTTTAACATCTAGATAGTTAAATGATATAATTATATAGACTTCTTATAATGGCGCTAAATATACCAGGGGGTATTGCCATTTATATGTTACCCTCAACGACAAAATGGCGTCATCATGTCAAATTTTAAAGTCGTTCGGACACTTTGTTTTAAAGAAACAGGTGTTTGTGAATGCTACATGTTTATCCAAATGACTAAATGAAATATTGACATTTCAACACAACATTTGGAGCAATGAGCTGCATGCTAATAAAGTTTGATTCAAGCTTGGGAAGACACCACAAGAGACTATTCAGATAATGGACATATCTGGAGACGCCCTTCATATATCCCGATCCGAGCGACAGTTTACAAGTGGCATCAAAGTTTTAGACAAGGAAGAGAATCCATATTAGATGTTAAAAAGGCCCGGAAATCCTAAGGAATTTGACGTTACTATCACCGAGCAAAATTAACATTTTTGAATTAAAATAACTTTTTAATATATTTTATACTAAATTCGGACATTTATCTGTGAAATTCTTTTTCTGTTTTTAATATTTGCTTATTTGTAGTAAATTGTGTCTTATTTATCTCATTCCCTTTGAAATAGGATTAAGACATTCCAATTGACACTCTGTGACTCTGTCAAAATAATTGTTGCTGGTTAGGTGTTAATGCCTCGGGATTTGTTAATCCTTTACCAATAACTTTATTTGTACAATTTCTTTATAATCTATTTCATGTCCATTTTATCTAAGAAACACACTTGTCCATCAATTAACTCAACTAGTGTCAAAAGTCAACTATTGTTTACTCTTGATCTTACAAATATCTATGTCCATTATAATATCTTCAGTCTGGAGGCCCGATTCTCTACCGGCCACATCCAACTCGATTAAGTCTCCTAAGATATTGTTAAAATTCATGTTTTGTTATTCACCATCGTCTTCAATAAATTTGGAAATATGATTTACCAGTTCTTGGACTTTATATTGGAAGACCATAAGGAATACGGCACCTTTACCCTTTACGTTTTATTACGGCCCCACAGCGCCACTACTTCGTTATACCCGCCAACATTCCTTCTCCCCCGTTTACCCTCTGAAACAGATTTAGTCCAGGAATCAGTTTTCATAACTAATAGCCAAAACTAACTGGTTATATTACCATTATCACCCCTACTAATGTTATTGTGATTTAAATTCAAGACACGTGGTTTAGGTTGACCCATTCAAAGGTTATAGGATGGAACTGGTTTTATAAATAAAATTGGCAGTAAACAGGAAATTGGTATAGTCTGTTTGAATACCGTATGTTTCTTTTGAAAAGATGAAGTGAAAAATGTTTTTTCAGACCTTTCTGAAAGACTTTCATGATTTTCAACAGAAATTGTTTGCTAAAAAGTTTATGGGAAAATAAAATATATCTTAACATAATTTACCATGCGAAAATTAGTTGCACACATGTTGACCGAATGTGTAATATCATCAACACTGACAAACCTTTGTTTGCCTTATATGGCTATTGTTATTAATATGCGCAATAAGCCTTAATAAGATTACCACGAGCAGCTGACCAATCGTTGAATTGCAACGTTTACGCCACATACATGTTTACATTTTCGAACACGTGGTTCAGGTCAATCTATGATCATGTCAGTGGAGTGCAAAATTAAAAAAAATGTTCTTATGAACAAAATACAAAGATTAGAAAGTAAGAAAGATGTCACGGGCGTTTTTAATCTTTTGTTAATTAGACAAAAAAAATATGTTTAATAAAATGTAAAATGTGTCAAGTTCAGAACACCAGCGCTTCAACAATGGTAAGGAAAACGAGCAGCATCTCTTATGCATTTAAATGGACAAAACAGTTTTTACATAACTATACTCGTGATCACGTGTTTTGGCCAGGGAATCCACCTGACAATTGTATTCACCGATAGTACAACAAAAGAATTAATCGCTTTCAATTGCAGCATGGCTTTGAGAAACCTAGACTTCCACTGTTTATTTAACAAATGAATTGTTTGTCATTGTGAACATGAAAATAATACAATTTTAAAACAAATGCTTTTCATTTACGCAATGGACGGAAAAACGGTCTTTGTGCCTTTCCGATTGCCATAAGATTTTCCTTTTTTCAAGCGTAAAATTCCTATAGTATTCGTAGTAACCCATAATGCAATTCTCATTCACCTGATTTGTCAGTTAAAGTCATATTGGTGTGCCTCATTTTCTAATCTGACGCCAAAAAATATAGTCCCGGTTCCCATGCAAGAATATTTGACCTAAAAGAAATTTTAATTCATGAATGCAGAAATTGTATCATAGCGAATACTTATTTAAGTTTGAATGAATTCAAAAGAGATCGATTGAAGTACATTTCTACAGATACTAGTATTATAGGGTGGTGAAAACTGAAACGCAACATAACTTTTCTGTTTACCATGTCTCCACGTGCAAGTCATTTCCTAGCCACATTTCCGTGAATAATTGTGTATCTCGCGGTAGTCTCGCTAACTCTCGCCAGAGCCACCGCCAGTGCTACTCTGAACTCATCGGGTTTTATAATGTGCAGCACACCGAAAAATAAAAGGTTCCGAACACATTAGTAGGGGTGATTATTGACGTCATATGCGACGCATTGAATGAAAATAGACAAATAACAATAAAGGACATATCAAAGCTAGTTTAATGCTCAAGTTCAACTGTTCATTCAGTTATTACAACGGATATTAAATTTTATCAGCAGACGCAATGAAGAAAAGAGTACCTGCATCTCAAATGTTTTTACGAAGATGGAAGATGGAAGGAGAATAATTTTTAAACTGGATCATTACGGTCAGTGAGACCTGGCTACATGTGTATTATTTTGACCCAGAAACAAAACAGCAGTTAAGTGTTGAAAAGGAAAGGATCCCCCCTTAAAAAACCCAAAGTTTCTAAATCAGCAATGAAACACATCTTTATTATGTTCATGGATGTTAAAGGCTTAATTCTTCGTCATGCAGTTCCAATTGGACAGACTGTGAATTCTGATTATTAATTATTATTATGAAATTCTTCATACGTAGAGCATGCTCTTGCATATCGAATTAACTGAGAAATATAAACCCCGCCTGCAGGTGATGAAAGTATATTGCTGCACAAGTAATCGAAGTTGAAGATTGAAAATTTAAAGACAGCACGTTTGTCATAAAGCCTGGTAGTTAGATTTCTATAAACGTCTTTTCCTTCTTAAATATATATCCAGGTATGAAACAGATGTGTCGGACTCTGTGGTACATGTAATCTTATAATTCAAGCTCACCGAGACATATCAATTATCATATCGACATAAGAATGGAAATATACTTTGATAATTGACAATACGTCGTCTGTATATCTAATTGTAGAGTTGAAAGCCACAACGAGTGTTTTCTTCTTTTTCACATTGAAGATTTTGGACAAAATCTACTTCATATAAATACAAAAATAAGTCTGCTAATAATGGGGTTCAATTTGTATCTATGGGAATTCCAATAGATTGTTGAAAGCCTTGGTCTACAAAAACCACATATTAATTGTCAATCAGAAACTCAAACATCTTTTTAATGTCAACTTCAGAGTACTTGAGTGTAAAGTCTTGTTTATAAAATTGAAAAGTAGTAAAATTATTTTATTGATTTTCGTAATATTTTGTGCTTTCAAATTTTCAATAGTTCTTTTGATATAATTAAGTATCAAAATCTGATTTACATCACGACTCCAATATATTGTTCAACAGAACTCCTAAAATGTCTCCTTTACTGCTGTAGAGAAAGAAACATGGTAGAACAGTAACTGGAACCCGTAATGTATCTTTATTTGTAAGAATATTTGATATGAAGTTTTTGAATCCAATATAGATTTGGTAATTTATATTCATGTATGTTTTTCGAAATAATAAGAATATTCTAAACTGATTTAGAATTTTGAACAAGTTAGGGAGCTATGGGAATAAGTATGAAAAACACTGGTAGAATAAAATCCCAATTTTAAAAAATGGAATAAAATAAGACAAAATGTGTAAATATCTACTTAGAAATTCATAATTATGAAAAAAGTTGCTTTTTTTTTGTTTTAATAAAAACATTTATTATTTGAATACAATTGATAGAAATTAATTACCAAGTGTCAAGCTATCAAAGTGAATAGTCAAATGTAATTTAATAGCGAACTTAATTTTTAACAATTTGATGTCATTGTAACTGTGACGTTTTGTATTCAATTTTGACAGCAATCGAGAGTATTGTGACTCGTCTGAAACAACGCTGTATGAAAAGGTATGCGCAAAACAATAAGATTTGGTGTCGTCAAAAAGAGATGAAATAAAGCTGTATCCGATTGTGTTTCGTACTTCCTTACACTTTGACTTGTACTACGATAGACAAAACAGTGTAAATATCCAAATCAATATCCTAATTAATTATATCATTTGTTTGAAAATAAATAATTTGTTTACCTTGTCTACAATCGCCAAACTAAATGGATTGTCATTTATTAAATGATGAAGTGTCAAACATAAGCATGATCAAAACATTATTTTTTTTTAAAAAGTATCCCTTAAGACATTTTTGAAATGCCACATATGTTACTCGGGTCATGATTCCTGTCGCATTCAAAGTCATTCGAATTCGATCGGCTGATTTTTGCTTTGGGCATTTCATGGGATGTTATAAAAACATCTAACGGACAAAGGAAAGGCACTGCAAACCTGAATTTGAAGATGGGCTGCCGTGTAACTTTCCTCATAATAATTTTGGTGTTCCTTTTCAAGAACTGTAAGTTTGAGTTTTTATTATTTTTTTTCGCTTTTGAAAATGAATATTTGTAAACCCCATAAAAGGATTTTTATTACATGGACACATACCTATTTTTGGAAACTCCTACAGTTTATAATTGGATGGGATGGATTGAAATATAGCATGTATATGTGTTGTATGAAATACCAGACCTGCACTTAAATTAAAACAAAAAAAAAATATCGAATGTAGATATCAATGAATTAAATATAACGAAAGATTTACTTTAATTTCAGCATGCATTACTGGTTCTAAAAGTGTATCAGGTTTGGAATAATATTTCAAATATTTAATGAAATAATGTTCTTAAAACCATTTTGAGCGTATTTTTGATCCTTTATTAGTTTTATCACAATATATGATATGTTCTTTTAGAAATACGTATTATAAATGATTAATTATTAAAGCACACTTCATTTTCTCTTTAAATTGGGACATATACAGTTGTGTAAATGTCTTGAAAGTAGATTTACCTTATTACTATGCACAAATTAGTTTTTTACAATCAAAGCAAGCGTCACAATTGTATGAATGAAACTCGAAGACACCTGTAAATAGCTAGACAAAAAAACACGCAGAAAATTATTTGTTTTTTCTCTTAGAATATATGGGTTGTTTCCAAGACCAGCAAGACCGTACTCTAACCGGAAAGTATACAACGACGACATCCATGACCATTGAAACCTGCAAGAATATTTGTACAAAAGAAAACAATCAGTTTTACGGTGTTCAGGTTCATCAATATATTCAGTTACTGTACTGATTTCTTAAGAATGTGATTGAATATGTTTTGCATATTTTAATCTTACATGCATTGTTTTAGTATTCCCACCAGTGTTTCTGTGGAGATTTTCTTTCAACTAATATCCCAAAGCCAGAGAGAGAATGCAACATGAAATGCAGTGGAAATAAGAACCAAATGTGCGGTGGACATTATAGAATGAACATCTACAGGAACCTAAACTATAATCAAGAGCATTTAAGTATGTACTCTTATTTAGGTGTCAAGAAAATTCAATTGTCCTAGTATCCACCGACAGACAATTTATTTTGTTGGATCAGAATTTATGACATCTAGTCAGATGGTCTTATTGCTAAGCTGGAAGACAGTCATATGCCCAGCAACAAGTATTCTCTGGAAATACATAACCCTATTTTTGGAATTACAATGTCTTATTTCTTACCATTTAACAAATTTGGTTATTCAGAAGCATTATAAATAAGGACGAGGAGAGTCGGATCAGAAATATTTCTTTACTTGCATATATTTGTACGGATGCGTTTCTCAAGTCAGTAGAAAAATTACTGTAGTAAAGTCAGTAGAAAAATCACACAAGTTTAAACGAATTTGCCCCTTTCTTCGGGTCTCAGGGGTTATAGTTTTGCTCGTTGAGCTACGAGGCATTATTTTCTGTTGCGGCATATAGTCATTATTTCATATTTAATAAACATATTTCCTTTTGATGTTTAAGTCATTTAAAAGAACGTGCATTTCTTTCTCATTTTAGTACACTTGGGATGCTACCAAGACCAGCCTACCCGAACCTTAGCCGGAAAGAAAACAAAATCGAAATCAATGACCATTGAAACCTGCAAGAATATTTGTACAAAGGAAAACACCAAATTCTACGGTGTCGAGGTTCGTCAATTTTTAAACGTTATAATATAGAGAATAATACATACCCTTTTCCAATTTGATCCTGTATCAGTCCGAATTTTTACCAGAGGGCCGAAGGCCCAGTGAATGTTTTGTGGAGGGCTGATACAGGATGTGATGTGGGAAGGGGGATGTTTTATTATATTTATTACATACTTAGTTATAAAATACAGCATGCATTAAGCTGAGAAGAAAATAAGTAAATAACCATGCATGGACCTCTTATATACATGTACATGGTCTATTGTCTCATACGATTTGGGTTTGTTTCTACTTCTATTTCAATGCACTCGATCCGTAATTTGAAAATAATCTATTACAATTACATGTATTTGTAAATTAAGATTAACCTTATTTTCAAAGAGTTAAAATTAAGAGAATATGAACCCACCAAAAATTATGTATGATCACAAGTACTGTTTTTGTGGTTTAATTTACTAAGGGTGTGATGTTGGCGTCACAATAGCCGTATTAGCCCTGCAGGGCTGATATATTTGCAGGGCTGATATAGGTTATCAGCCCCGCAAATCCATATCAGCCCTGCAGGGCTGATACAGCTATTGTGACGTCAGCCATATCGCATATGCAAAAAAACTGTATTTATTACTAAGTGTGTAATAAATAGAGAATAATACATACCCTTTTCCATATCACATCCTGTATCAAAAAAGTTGCTTTAGAGAGGACACCAATATCAGCCAGAGGGCCCAAGGCCCGAGGGCTGATATTGGTCGAAGGCTGATACAGGATGTGATGTGGAAAGGGGTATGTTTTATTATATTTATTACATACTTAGTTATAAAATACAGCATGCATTAAGCTGAGAAGAAAATAAGTAAATAACCATGCATGGACCTCTTATATACATGTACATGGTCTATTGTCTCATACGATTTGGGTTTGTTTCTACTTCTATTTCAATGCACTCGATCCGTAATTTGAAAATAATCTATTACAATTACATGTATTTGTAAATTAAGATTAACCTTATTTTCAAAGAGTTAAAATTAAGAGAATATGAACCCACCAAAAATTATGTATGATCACAAGTACTGTTTTTGTGGTTTAATTTACTAAGGGTGTGATGTTGGCGTCACAATAGCCGTATCAGCCCTGCAGGGCTGATATAGATTTGCAGGGCTGATATAGGTTATCAGCCCCGCAAATCCATATCAGCCCTGCAGGGCTGATACGGCTATTGTGACGTCAGCCATATCGCATATGCAAAAAACCTGTATTTATTACTAAGTGTGTAATAAACTAATTTATTAAGAAAATCATCGAATTTGACCTATAATTTTTACCTCATTTCTTGAAGTTTTCCAGTGAATGTTTCTGTGGAAGCATGCTTACAACAAATATTCTAAGACCAGACAGGGAATGCAACATGAAGTGTAATGGGAATAAGCAGCAAACATGTGGTGGAATTTATAGAATGAACATCTACCTTAACCCCGATTACAATAAAGGTTTGTATATGTATTAATTATACTCGGTCTCTATTTTTTCTCGGGCTTCGGGGAGCCACCCTGTTCTCTATTTTAAGGATTTATAGTTTGATTTACCTGACAGCAAAAAATGTTACAGTTTGGTTTATTGAACTGCAATATATTCAATTGACTATACAATGCGAAATAATATTTCTTACCATTCATCAGATTCTCCTAATAAAGTAGCACGCAATAGCGAATAATGCTATAAATGCAGAAATATTTCTTTATTTACGATATATCAATTTGAGTAAGATACCAAAAAAGTTGCGTTAGTCAGTAGGACAAAACTATCGAAACGATCACAAATTTCACCCAATCCCTAACAGTCAGGAAGTAGTTGTGCTCGTTGTTTTCTTCTTTTGCAGCAATGATAATCAATATCCAGTGCTTATTGGTTATGTTTTCCTTTAATTCAAATTTCTAAGAAACATTTTCATCGTCTTTAAAGAGGATTAACTTCCGATATGAAATAAAACTAGATGTGAATTGTATATAAACAACTCCAGCTGAATTATTCTCCTTTTTCAGCATATTTGGGTTGCTTCCAAGACCAGCCTAGGCGAACCCTAGCCGGAAAGTATGTAAAATCGACTTCTATGACCATTGAAGTCTGCAAGAATATCTGTACAAAGGAAAACAGCAAGTTCTATGGAGTCGAGGTCAATATTTCCTTTTTTTATTTAAAATTGTGTTGATTTGTTTAGAAAGTATTTGAATCTGACCTCTAATTATAGCTTATTTCTTGAAGTATTCCTATGAATGTTTCTGTGGAGATTCTCTCACAACAAATATTCGAAAGCCAGAAAGTGAATGCAACATGAAATGTAATGGAAACGGGAAGCAAATCTGTGGTGGAGTTTATAGAATGAACATCTATAGAACCTAGAATACATTAAGGTAAACAGCAAGAACACTGAAGAAGGTAATGCTTTCAGGGTGTTTTTTTTTTAGAAGAACGCGTATATATTTGTTTTTGGGTATATGCCTAAATTTCCCGTAAACGGAAAACAGACAAGTTTTCCGTAAATCTGGAATACACCTTAAATAATACCTCTGCGGATGTATTTTAAGGAAAAAAAATTAAATTGTTTTTGTTCTTTTACTTGCAGGTTCCAGCTTGACGTTTAAATAAGTTTGCGGATCATTTCAGTTATTTTCTTTCAGTGACATTATTTATACGACTTTTTACAAATAAAATGCATCAATAAAACAAGAAACTTTTATAATTGTCCACCTTTTATATATATATTTAAATAATTGATTTCAACATTCATTGGTAATATAATTAAAATCAGATTTTTCAAAAATATATCTATTTTATCAAAATAATGAAATGGATTACTATATTGCTTGTTTACGGGCGATAATTAGTTCGTTCTGCATTCTATTATGTAAATTGCGCTTTTTCATTATATTTGAATTCTAATTAATAAATTAAGAAAAACAAACAGGGAAATGCGTATTTTACAAATAACTTTCCGATAAAATCTTACAAAACGAAATTTACACGATTCTAAACGCACGATCTCGCACGATTAAAACCGCACACGATTGAGTCTGATACACGAACGATCTTGCACGTTACAAACGATCACTCACGATACACGAACGATTCTACACGATTGGTTTGTCAACAATAACGTAGCCACTGTATCAATTGTATAACTGTAACATAATATTAAAATAAATATAATGAACTTTTTTTTTTAAAAAGTATATATGATAAAGATCAGGCAAGTTTGTAGCGAATCTGGAATACATCTGAAATATCTTAGTGGTTATGTTTTAAGATAAAAAGTTTATTCTAATTGTGTTCTTGTTCTTTTACTTGAAGGTTTCGGCAAGAAGTTTGGATAAATTTGCGGATCATTTTAGTCGTCTCCTTTCAGTGACTTTATTTATATGATTTTGTACAAATTAAAGGCATGAATGAAAGAATAGCGAGGTGGAAAACTTAAACTTATACAGGGTGTCCCAAAACATATGTTACACTTTTAAACCGTTATAAAAATCTAATGCCTCAAGTTACATTAATGAAATTTAGAATGTATACCGGTATTAGAATTATTATAAATTTTTGGTCAAGCATACATTTTTTACAGTTACCTTATTAATCATCAATATTTTTCATAAGAATAACATAGGTCATTTTACAGCATGTTCCAAATTACGTCCCTTGGAATTAACATTGTTTGAACAAGATTTCTGAAGTTTTTTTTACCAAGTTTTTAATGTAACATTCTAACAGGTTAGCGGTTTTTTAACATTGAAATTGGGTTTCACCAATCACTAGAATTTAAGATTCTCTTTAACTACATTGTTTAAAAGGAAGTTGTGCTTCATCGTAAAACGATGCATCTGTTAAATTTTCAGAGTTTCTGATTAAAATCCAATGGTCCAACTCTAAATAACTTCTAATTTCTGTCTCTTTCAAATGCTTATCTTATGAGTAATCAGTTTTAAATCGAATTCGAGTATTGTATGAATGCTAGATTTACCAAAGGTGCTATCTTGTTCATGTAGGACACGTCTAAGGGATTTTTAAAAAAATAAAGTTTCAGTAGAGTAATAACTCAATTAATGGTATTAATGTTCTCTTTGGTACGGGCATTCCTTGGTCTTCCAGGACCAGAATTAAGTCATGTGTCAATTATGGTGCCTTTAACTTCAAACTTCCTCACAAATCTGTAAATTAGCATTCTGTTGGGCACTTTTAGGATGTTGTTTTCTCATGAATTTTAAGTAGCAGATTTACACCCATATAAAAAGTTTGACAATTTATATCAGCTGTTCACATGAAGGTTCCATATTAAAAATATGACGACGTCATTTGGACATCATAATTACCCGAAGTTATAACAGAATTTCATGAAAGTTTAGCAGATAAAATGTATGCTAATACACTGGATGTTGACGAAATATCTCTGTGAATGCTTGTGGTTTGATAAAGTTATAGATGATCAAAAGTGTAACATATGTTTTGGGACACCCTGTACGTGTACTTGTGCATAAACTTTGACGTACACGTACACGTTTTTTTTGTTTTTGTTTTTTTTTGTAATTTGTCTGCTTCCACGTTATATAATCAGAAATAATGGAACGCTCACTTTTAATGTTATTTTAATGTAAAAATGCATCTATTCAAATTAATGAAGTGGATTGAACAGCAGGCATAAATGCTAATCGTCGTTCATCCGTAGGGCAAGGCTAAGGCCAATTACAGGTACATTAAACATTCAGTAACATGTATAAGGAGTAGATTATCAATTGGTTCATATTAAGAATAAATTTTAGAATGAATTTTAAAAATGGCCGTATGTTGGAAAGGCTTCTCAAGTTTCGAAAAAAAATAAAAAGAAAAAGATGAACAAGATATTCATTCTGATTCATTTGATGACCAATCTGTATAACTTACAGAAATAGATGCATTGTCTAAATAGTCTTCACAGATGAAAACATGCTAACCATATAGAATCTGAAACAAATTTTGTACGGACCTCTTTACATGTAGTTGCATATTGCTTTAAATTTCGATTTTTTTTACAGAGTATGAATCTTAGGTTTTAAAAGGGGATGCTTAATCTTCGTAGGCACCTGATCTCAACCCTGGAATTTCAAGTGTTCAGTGTTTTATGCTTATTTTACAAAATTGTTTATGTGGATTTTTGAGATCGATCTCTGTCTGTTATCTTCTTCTCTTCATTTGACAAAAAAAATACACATACACAGAGTTCTTGTGTATGTATAATTTTATATGCCCATCTTGTTTTCAACGCTATACACAAGTATTTCAGTACACAAGGGACGTACTTTAACTCTGATTTCATTGTTGTTTTTTTAGACAGTTGCTTCTTCATAACCGTTTTTCATTAAAGAAACATATGGAGATAACGAACAGTATTCAAGATCAAAAATCCATAGAACAATACAAAATAGGAGCACAGCAAACACCGACCTCCAGCATATTAGAGGTGGGATCAGGTACTATAGGGGAGTAAGTATTCCCTGCCGACCGGTCACACCTGCCGTGTGCTCCTTGTCATGATCGGGAAATAAAGTGAAAATCCGTCGTCAATTCAGTATAACTGTATATAATGGACTAACAATTAGATAAAAACGTTGCATTTGATTGATATTTTTGTATGCTTACCAGGTCATTTTATCGACCATAGAACTTACGAAATGATGACTTTAAACGAGACTGTTGATCTTTTTGTTTCATCATTCTGTTTGCCAATAATTTACATTAGAAATTGTTCATACCAAGAGCATGCACTTGCGTACCGAATCAACTGAGATATACCGTACAAGTAAAAATTTTAGCGAGGATTTAATTTTGGCATTATTAGCGAGGGTTCTGAGATCGCTAAAATTAGATATCGCTAAAAATAAACTTTATTTAAATTGCAATAGCTTCTTTAGTGAGCATTTTAAAATCGCTAAAATTACTTCTCGCTAAAAAATTAACACCATATTTTCAGGAGAAATCGCTAAATTTGCGTCTCGCTAAAATTTCCACTTATACGGTATAAACTCTTATGCAGATGATGAAGGTATATTGCTGCATAAGTATAATCATTTTGAAAATAAAATAGGAGAAGCTAAAAATACAATATTTTACGTCCATTTTATTCATGAATACAAATAATATAAAGCTATATATGTTTCTTCTGCATATTAAAGACTTAAAAATAAACAAAAACAGTTTGTATTGGTATATTTAGTTAAGAAAAGTGTTAAATATTTCGGCAAATAAGGAAATTAATTATATTTATTCAGAAGAAAAAAAGAACAATTGATACAATTGCTTCATAATGAATAGAACGAGCTTTACTGTATTCAGTGTTTGATAATTGTTCGCTGATAAAGTAACCGAGGAAATTGTTTTTAAAAAATGTAACAAGGATTAATCACTTGTAAGTTGTTAACGAAAAAAATTCGCTCGGACACAGACGACAATTTGCTAGTAAAGGACATCAAATTTAGACAATTACCCGGTACTCAGGCCATTAAGCATCCAGGGTTTTTTAACATTCAAAGGCCAACCTCGACAGGAAGCCTTATATTTTAAGGGCCCCTACCTTTTACGCCTAGTACCAGGCACATAGCAATGGTACAGTTAATACTTCTGTTTACGCCTTGGTGTCATGTAAATTTTGTGTTTACAGCCAACCAGAAAATTCAAAACTTTTGAATAACAGAATCATACTTTAAAATATATATATTTTCTGTAATTAACCAGGAGTTTTGCATTTACTGTCACCCTGTAAATTCAAAATGAACAACATGATTGTATGTTTGACGTAGTGCATAGATCGAGAATCAAACCTCGATGCCCAATCACGAAGCAAAAGTCATACCATTCGGCCATCCTGACATGTATATAGATTTGAAGTGACGAAACAAATAAACACAGGATTAAAGAGTATGAGCAAGACAGTTTTTTTGGTTCCCTTGAATACTATTGATAGAAAATAGTAATTTTTAAGTTTTCTTTGATCTTGTAATAGATTTGTGTTTAATTTTCTTCGCATATCTCAGTTGTCGGTGGACGTGCATTAAGTTAGCCATATTGGACAGATCTCTACTTTACTTTGTGGCACTGTATGACCATGTTTCAGTAAATTCTAAAGTACTTTAAATCTTCTGTTCAGTCTGATACAATATTATATCGGTATCAGTTTAAACAGATACATATATAATGGCAAGGATTCATCGATTACAATGAATAACAACACCCAACCACAGTTATTCCGCATGTCCCAAAAACTTTGACTTTTACGACAACATTCCTTATTCCCAAAATCATTATGTTTTGACCATACTTGTAGTTTTAAGATAAAAATACATTGCGTGTTTTCGTTTATGTCAAATAAACTTTACTCTGATTAATTCTCTCTCTTTTTTTTTTTTTTTTGCTAAATATTATGTGGGAATAGGTGGAATTTTTGTGTAAACAAATAATTAACTATGTTCTTAAATTAAGGTTTTAAGTTGCTTTTTCTTGTAAGACCTTTTCATTATTTCAAAAATCCGAAATAAATCATATTTTCTCATAGATGTATTCATTATTTTCTGTCTTAAAATGTACAAAATACAGGTAAATCTAAACATCTATTGTTATTTGCAAGTGGGAATAGGTGGAATTGAGATTTTTAAAGAGTGGGAATAGCTGGAAGACACCGAGTAAACATGGATCTCAAAAACATTAGATCAGGTGTTATAAAGGAGTGATTATTTCCTGCAGACCAGTCACACTAGTCGTGTGCATATTGTCATGATCAAAGTATAATTTGAAAAGCTGGCGGCAATCGAGTAAATCTTTGCCTAGCAATTAGTATAAATACATCAATCACTATTTAAGGACCCTCTCTACAAGTGCAAATTTTTTTGGGACATTGAGAAAAATATGTCGTATAAAGGAGTTAATATTGAGCTTATTTATCCAATTTTCACTGTATGTTGCGTGGCATTTACCTCCGGGCAAACTGTTCAAAGACAACACAGTATCAGTGAAAAGAAATCACTATTAATTACTTCAGTAGAGAAAATACATGTAAATAACATGTTTAGTTAATTTATCTTTGCCTTTTAAAAGTTAAGAATACTTGAATTAATTACAAATTGAGTAATATATTGTAAATTTCTATTTTTTTTTACAATTTAGATCTAGGGGCAGATCACTCTAACTGCAGAAAAATACCTTAGAATCAGAACTCTTTAGTGTGCAGTGTAGAGAGGGTTCTTAAATTAATGATGGATTGTATTTTCTGACAAGCCTAATGTTTTGACCATAGAACTGGCGAAATGTTGACTATAAACGAGACTGTTGGTATTCCTGCTTCATCAACTTGTTTTTCAATAATTTACCTTGTTTTTGAAATTGTTTCATACATAGAGCATGCTTCTGCATGTTGAAAAAAATTGAAAAAATATAAACCCCATATTCATGTAAAAAAGATATATTTTTGCATAAGAAGAACAGACAACATAGACAATGCAAACACATTTCGTAATCTAAATGATCAACCCTTGAATCCAGTCATAAAATTTCCCAACATTTGTGTAATATCCGTAATGTTTTGGTCTGTCACATCCTACACCCCACGAGACCACGCCCACAAGAACCCACGGATGACTGTCAGACAAGTGCATACTTAAAGACCCACCACTGTCTCCGTAGCAAGCATCGCCAAAGAGCGCGCGGTCGTATCCCGCGCAAAACATGGAGTCAGTAAAGTTTCCGTTACCAATGTTTGCGTCCTCGCACTTTTCACGTTTGATCGTCGGAACGTACACATCATGGATTTGCTCTGGAGTTTCCTTAATGTTTTCATAGATCTGACCACACCCAATGACCCGGCCAACCCTTCTCCCAACTCGCTGAGTAAGAAAAATATCCTCAATGATATCTCTAGGTTTGAGACAAAGTGATTGTATTTTATCCGTGAAATTGACTGGATCATCCATTTCAACCAATGCAATGTCGTTGTCATATATTGCTCTCTGGGCAAAGTCAGGATGAGTTATAAATTGTTTGATGCTTCTCTTTGTTCCCCCTTCACCGTTACATTTGTTTGTTCCTATTATGAGATCTATATTAGCCTTTTCCAGAGGACGTTTGAATTCATTGGTGTAATGTGCAAAGCAGTGGGCAGCGGTTACCACCCACTTATTCGAGATGAGTGTTCCTCCACAAAAGGTTTTATCCTGCAAATTTAAATCGCTGACACGTTAAATATGTAATTCGTATAGAAAGTTTAAATAAAGATATTTGATTTTCTGTTTAACTAGCAAAGATATATAAAGAAAATCTTCAACTACCTCTACATTTTCTCTCAGAATGACATGCCATGCTGTTGTTTCTGTGGTGACGGCACTTCCGCTACTAATTCTAGTAGACATCTGTGGAACCGAAAAGGGCGCTGCTGGTGCTCCGCATTCTTATAAAGTCATATTGTATGTTAATTTGATATGGTAATAATGTTGAACTCCTTACATGTCTGAAAATCATTGCGTTATCGCGGAAGTGTACATCTCTAATTAGGTGCAAATATTTCTCAAATATTCTCAAAATTATCCATTTCTAAAAAACAATTTTCATCAGAAACAAAGCCCTATTATTGACATGGAGTAATATAAGGTTTTTGTTTAACGTCCCTCTCGAGATTTACTTTCTTTCATGAGGAGACGCCAACTCTTGCAAATTTTGATCTACTCTCGGCAGTCAGAGTCACTGAGCAGTGAGGCATCTTTTTCGTGGCAGCACCTTTTACGACAAGGGACCTCGATTTAAACGGTCTTATCCGAAGAATTGGTCTCCACGATCCACAGCTGGATTCGAACTCACCAGGTAAGGATCATCTCCTTAGATGGATTTCAGACGCTCATACCACTGCGCCACAAAGGCGACGGTTATATAGGGTTAATACATATCTATAGTTAATGTACAAGAACCAAGGACATTCTATATGATATATTGATCTATAAACATGGTTCATTAGGAATTTAAGTACATAAAATCGTCAATTATATGTGACTGACATGAATGAAAACACGGGCAATTGACACGTAATGGGCAAGTAAAGCAAAACTGAAGCCGATTTACATGATAAGACCATTAGCATCACGTGATAGAACGATGAAGAGGCTTCTTGGGATTCTTTGAATGGCATGAACTCAGCATTAAGTCTGTGTTTAATTCTTCTTGCAACTATATTAATCATGGTCATTGAAACCACATTTCTCAATAATCATTGTTGCACGAACAGTATTCTTGCAAATCATCCCGAGTCTTTGACATTAAGTTATTGGAAATAATTTGTCAAGGAAACTTTTATCTTCATCGTAATTAAATCATTGTGTGATTTACATTTTTGTATATTGCAAAGAAATTAAACGTAATCCTTTATAAAGAATATAATTCGTTTTTTTTTTTTTTTTTTTTTTTTTTTTTGGCTGTTGTAAAAGAAATCTTTTCATGGCTTGGAAATCTATACCTTCATGCCTATTTTCTGTATCCACTATAATTTTTGCATGTCTCTGAGCCGTACAGCCGCTTTCTCCTTCCGCCAAACAAGAATAATTCCCTGAATCGTCTGGTTTTACCGAGTCAATTTTCAGGTAAAATCCACCCGCTAACACCTTTGAAAATATATGGTATAGAGCATTATTGTTTGTTCCAAATTTAGATGTCAGTTTTCTTTTATATTCCCTCCAAAAATAAAAAGCTTAAAGCATTTTAAGTAACTCAATAAATTAAATTTGCTTTAGATAGAATAGTTTTCTTTTTTTGCTTGAAAATATGGCAAAATGCTGAAATTTAATTAAGAAGCGGCTAAAAAAGAAGATACGTGCATAAATAAAAAAAATGACAGAATTAAACATATATATTCACTCAGTTTTTTTTATTCTAATGCCCTTTACATAATACAATATTTACCGAGTAATGCGGGGCGGTAATTTGTCTGTTGTTCTTCATCCAGGTTATTTGCTTCGCAGCGGGAACGAAGCAGGAAAGTAGAGCCGTACTTCCGGTTTCAACAACGGTGTCTATTGGACCTGCCTCGACAGCTTATAATAAAGATTTTAAATTTTACCTAAATATTTTGTGATTTTAAAAATAAAACAAAAAGAAACAGAAAAAGAAAATACATAATTATAACAAAATCAAAAAATGAACGCGAATTACTCACGAAATTCAATGTTTCAAAACAATTAAACTTTCTAAAATCACTAATTTCAAGAAACATTGTAACCAGTATTTCAAAAGATTGAGCATTCATATTTTCAATGTCCTTCGAGGACCATTCTAATTATGTGAATGTAGTAAAAATCGTTACCAAGATAACACGATTCTTTAAGAGTCAATCGAAATTCCACTTCTACAAAGTCTGTGGCGGTGTTAACAATACACTTGTATGCCCCCTCCAGCTCCTCACTGAAGTTCTGAAGGTCCAGAATTCCCCCCGGAAGTAGAGTGACGTGATCATTATCTGACTGTAGAAGGAGACCCTCATAAAGCCTGCAAAACCAAATCAAAGGGGGAAAATCTTAATAATTGGTCCCGCTTCTTTAATATTTTTAATGGTGTATTCTGACTGTAAAGCACAGCAAAAGCACTCATAAGTAATGGTTAACAACGCCTTCAGACAAAAATAACTTTGTGATAAATGTAAATAAAAATGAAAGTATTCATTTCCCATTTTTAATAACTGAGGAAAGTCAAAAACATGTTGAAATAATACTATATACCATATATACTGTGCGTTGGGATCGCTCGATTTGCATTCAATGATTTCACGATTGCCACGAAACACTTCGTGATCTTTTGGAGACTTCAGCATAGTCAAACCAGTAGAATTCTGAAGGAGAAAAATATGTCAATATACATTTTTTAAACAAAGAATTAAAGTTTCTTCTTTGTTTTTCTTCCAGATCACGAGGTTTCTGTATTTGAACTATAATGATTGGAATCTTTTCAATTTTCTAATTAAAGTTTATTTCAAACTTTTATATAAAAAGAAACACATGGAGATATCGAACAATATTCAAGATAAAAAGTCCACAAAACAATACAGAATAGGAGCAGAGAAAACATGGACATCCAAAACATCAGAGGTGGGATCAGGTGCCAGGAGGAGTGAGCATTCCCTGCTGATCGCACACACCAGCTGTGTGCTCCTTGTCATGATCGGGTAATAAGGGAAAAATCCGTCGTCAATTCAGTGTATAATTAATGAAATAACAATTAGTATGAAAAACGTCAGTCAACATTTGACTCAATGATAAATTGGCTTTGCTGACAAGGTCATTTTATCGACCATAGAACTTACCAAATTATGACTTTAAAACGAATCTGCTGATATTCTTGTTTCGTCAACTTGTTTATCAATAAGTTACCTCGTTTTAGAAATTGTTCATACGTAAAGCTTGCTCTCACGTGTAAAAATGTTGATGCAATTCAGCATATATTTTATTTCTCACCTTGTTTATATCAACTTTAGTCCTACAAAACGGTCCATCGTAACCTTGGTGACAGAAACATTTGAAAGCTTCTTGGTTGTTTTGTACACAGTCTCCATGGTAACAAATATCTATGGAGCATTTCAACCCCACTGTGCATCTGTTTAAGAAAATTTCTGATTAGGTATACGTGTATTTTATACAAATCAAGTTCATCCCTTTGGTATTTAAATTTCCATTTCAATTTTGCATAATATTGGCTTAATATTTTACTCATCTTTTTAAAAATACCAAAAACCTTATCTATATATTATTTGAAAATACAGAATTTATATTAAAACAATAAATGGTATTGTCAGACCAATGGAAATGCTGGGATGATTTACATTTGTGTTCCAGCCTTGTTGACACATACGGTTCCAGAAGGACAAGGAGGGTAGCACACTACAAGAAAATCAAAGCTGGCATTTTATCATAGAAAGCTTTCTTCCGAAATGAATAAAATCAATATCTTGAGGAACTACATGTAAAAATCAAAGTACAATTATAATTTCGATACTTAAGCACTTAAACAATGATATATTTAAAAAATAAAATATGTTTCATACACTTAACCATGTCTTTTTTAAGTAAACAATACTTTTATATTATATTAAAGCATTTTATAGTGGAAAAGGATTGCCCTGTCTGAGAAATTTTCAAAAAGTTCATTAATTAAGCAGTAGTTAATTAACAAAGATTGCATTGAAGTATCCTTGGATGGGGAAAAGCGTTTTTTCAAAATAAAAATTCAAATAATTTGAATATCAATAAATTGTGGTGGAAAGATGCAGTGAAATATTAAAAACTGTGCCAGAATGATAATTGAAAACAATTCTTTTACCAGCTAGATTTTTTTTAATTGATTTTTTTTTATTAATTAAAAAAATGGCCGATAAGTTTTACATCAAAATATATAGGTCATGAATTAGGACACATCGCACTAAACATACTTATAGCAATAAATGGGAAGTATGCCTAAATAAACTGAGTATTCAATGCTTAAAATCATGACCCCCTGGGGTAGGGTGGAGCCAAAATGGCCGACCAAAGTTTTACATAGAAATATATAGGAAAATTCTTTTAACATCTTCTTCTCAAGAATGACAAAGCCATAATTCATCATGTTTATATGGAAGCATGCTCAAGTAGTGCAGATTCAAATTTGTTCAAATCATGACCCCCAGGGGTAGGGCGGGGGCAAAATGGCCGACCAAAGTCTTTAAAGATATATATAGGAAAATTCTTTAAAAATCATTTTCTATAAAATAGCAAATCTATGACTGGTCCTGGGACTACTTTTGGATTTAAACTTTACAATAAAAAGCCATTTTCTACTTTTTCCTACCCATAGTGCTCAGGTGAGCGATGTGGCCCATGGGCCTCTTGTATTTAGTGGAATCACTTGTCAGATAGTCAATTTAAAATATATTCAGTCATGTACATTTATATAGGATATAATTTTAGCGTGTTTTTTTTGTCAGAAAAAAAAACGCTACAAATTATATACCCATCACATATAAATAAGTGCATTACGAAAAGTACCATCCATTTCTTTCATATAAATGTCAAATTTCCATTATCCAAAATTGTTGTATAATGCATATATCGCATTACAAAGCCTGAATAGCGACCGTTATTGAGTAGTAGTCGTATAATAGAAAGGCATATGTGGGCTAAAATTACGCTCAATATTGCCTAGAATAGTTGACAAGTTGTGTTAATTGTATGTATACAAAATCCTCTGACGACCATCAACCTCAAAATAATATCATGAAAAATTATGCCCTCCAAGCTTCCATCTTTGGTCATATACATCTCATCTTTCGGAAAGGATAAGATACTATTAAACCTCTGTCTTCGTTTTGCATGTATGAAGAATTTATAATATTACCCAATCAATTTACATTCATACATGAAATACAGTTTCCAGAAGGAATGAGAGAATCTGATTTTTTTTAATTTACATATATATTAATCTTGATTACCGAATAAATCAAATTCTTTAACATTCAAAAGGTAAGGAAATTATAACGCTTCGGATGAGAATATAGGAACCGAGGTTCCTTGCCGCAGTAGATACTGGCACCAAAAAGATCTCTCATTGCTCAACGGTCGTAATTGCCGAGTACTGTAAAGGACAAAATTTGTTGCCCTCCGCCGGAAAATAGCGGCATTTCCATATAAGTGAAAAATTCTCGCGAAGGACGTTAAACAAGAAACAAACAAAAGAACACAAAACTTCGAGCAACAAATTATGTCTGCAGTGGACTTTTTCTTTTTAAGAAAAAAAAATCATTGCCTTATATTTTTGATGTCATTGAGATATTCATGCTCATCCATTCTACATGTAGTTCATGTGGATTTCCATTTATATTATACGTCTTTCAAAAAGTAAATAATATATGTATTCTAAAAAATAAACATGATTGGTAATTTTAAAGTAAGGTGAAATAAAATACTATTTGGCAATACATAATATGAAATGCAACTGTAAAAATTAACTACCGTAAAAGATATTGTTAGTCGTGTAGGTGAGCAAGAACCCAGAGATTATATGTATGCATTTCTACAACATAACCGACTCTACAGTTCATACCTCGTTTTGGAAGTAGGTCAAATGTCGCCTCGTATCCTCTCCAGCGTATCATAGAGTCAGATCGAAACTCTATTCGAATACTTCCCGTCGCTGATTCAAACGCATGTTTCTGTTCAGAAAACCCACACAGTTTTCCAATTTGCGTCGAATCTAAAATATTTGAAAGGAAATATCTTTTAATATTGTTTTTTATCCTTATTGAAATAGGAAGAGAGAGTGCTTCTGTTACCTGCATGTTCAGTCGCATATATTGTCAGTGAATCAAAGGAACAATTCTCAGATGCTTCCATCTCAAGAAAATTTACTGATACTCTAATCACGTGGTTAATGATAGGTGCCCGGATGATTGTTACACAGTGAGCATTATTTGGATAATCCTCTGGGTAGCCCGGACTTGACAGGGTACCATTTATCTCCGTTTCTATGGTTCTGTTGCAACTGTTGTCTATAAAATATAGAAAAATTACACTAAGAAGATTTTTTTCATTGGAAAGTTGAACTTATTTATTTCTTTCTTTGACTTATTTCTTTCCCATTGTTGTAGCTTAGAACTTAATTTTTTTAATTCATTTTTTATCGATTATGTATGACATTCAGTCATTACACAAAATATTTGTACAAGTGAAATAACCAGAAGTCTCTGTTGAGAATGTAGCTCTACTGGTCTGTACGTATAACAAAGGAAAACTAGCACTTGGATTTGAAACTTTGCAACAGGCTGCAATAAATAGAATTATGTAGAGAGTATCTAAGTGTTGTCTACATGTACTTATGTGTCAAGTTATATTGAAATCAGACCAAAACTGTAGGAGGAGTAGCGTTATAAAGGAATTTCACAGAAATTTCTACTTTTAGTAACCATGGAAACACAGTTCGTCGAAATGAATAATCCGATGCACTAAATTATGTATCTTTGTGTAGTCTACTTGTGATCCAAGTTATATTGAAATCAAACCAAAACTGTAGAAGGAGTAGCGTTTTGAAAAATTGTTTACAGACGGACAGCTAGACAGTGGGACGGACGACGGACACCTTACTATCGCATATTATTATTGATCTCTGACCAGTAGAGCTAAAAATGACATTCGAACTTGATGGTTAGGAATGTTTATAGATTAATTTTATTACCATTCAGAATTGGCTGATAGGGAAGATTCTTATCACGTGACTTGATATATATCTTGAAGCCCCGCCCCTCTTGATAGTAGTCTGAGGTGAAGACCAGGAGCAGCCAGTTGGACTCACTAAAGAAGGATGTGTTGTTCTTCTGTTTTCCACAAAGAGTTGTCATGGATTTATCATCTGATGAATGCAAGATTATTTTCTATTTTTTAAAATTAGTTGCTGGAATAAGAGATAATTCTTTTCAACGTGACAAGATGGCCACTTTAAAACTGTTTCATTTGTTTTAAAAATATGCATGCTAAAACAAAGCACTTTGGAACTTGAAAGACTGATTCTTTTTCTTATCAATAAGAAATACAATACAGCTTTTTCTGATCCAAATTTGGCTGGCATCTGTTGTCATATTCATTGGTATTTAACTTTTTAAATACTTTAGCCGAAAGTCTTTACGTAACATTTGAGAAATTTTAGACACTGATTGCTGATTTTGTACATGTTGAAAACAGAACTTGCGTGATGTTCTTCCCTCATAAACATCAAGTCGGTCAAACAGACAGGTTTCATCTGTCACATCAAGAAAAGACAACTCTATGTCAATCTTCGTGTCAGCTGGAAACTAGATTAAATGATTAAAACTATCTTATTAATTGTTTGAATCTTTCTTGCTTGTCTAACATTTAGAATAAGAACAGGATTCTATATATTGTTCTTAATCTGTATAATACGTCGTTAAATGATTTTTTTTTTAATGAAAATTAAAATAAGTAAGTCATCTAAAAAGTTAGTGTACTTATTTTAATTTTCAAATAAAAATCCATAAACGACAAATATATCACTTATATAGACAATTAACATTAAGGAAAATATACCAATAATTATCTAATTTTGTGGATATACATTATTATTTGAATAAAAAATTTTATTCTTTTTTTCAAAACACTTTTGAATGATATTTTTATGCAAGTTAACAGTTACATTTATTATACTTCTACTTTATTACACTTTATTAAATTAATACCATAAAACTATCTATTTCTCCGAGAAGGGACTATTTCCCCTTTCTAACATTCAGATAACTAAATAAATTGATTATCATTTTCAAGTTTCATTAAGGACTACTCCCTGAAAATCAGAGGTACTCCCTGGGACTACTCTCTCATGAATATCTTTTAATATTATCTTCTCTTAAGATTTTACAGTTTCCATTATGAGATTCCCATTGTATGTAGTTTATTTGAACAAGGAAATAAATGTAAAATTAAGCTTTCGAGTTCATATAAGATGTTTGAGACATACGTTCAATCGAAAAGTTATAACATTAATTCTTTAATAATTTTTACGGGTGTTGAATAATAACCTCCCTAAGTTATAATTCTGGTTATTTTAAATAAAACTGGACTTTATAGAGAGATTATGGGGTTTTTATTAGCTATTATGCGTTCTTAATGTTATATATCTTATCTATTTTTTCAACATACTTCTCATTTTCTTTTTTTTTTTAATTAAAATCCTTTAAGAGTTTCCTGTAAATTCATTGAATGATATTTGAATAGAACAAGCTAATTTTTCGTCGTACCTGTTACAAATTTATTTTTAAAAAGTTGTTGAAATCTGAATGCAAATATTTCCGTATAAAAATGAAGTCTTATTTTGGTGTCATATTACAAAAATTTCCTCTCTTTCGTCAACTAACTAGAAGAGCTTTAACGCGTGGTAGTTTCAATTTTTCTGTAACTTTAAAGATTTCACATTGATCAAAACCCATACCATAATCTTGTTTGAATCAAATAAAGACACAACAATGTTTGCTTTGATTTCAAACTTTTGCATTAGGATAAGACCTTTGTCAAATCGAAAGGATGGGGTTATCTTATTTCAACAAATAGAGGTATTAATTTACCATGTAAGTAAATAAATAGGACCACGAGTTATCCACCTATTAGAATAAAAGTTTAACCTTTTGATATCAATGGATAAACTGAAAGTAATACAACGTTGTTTATTTTGTGAATTTTGTATCTGTATATAATTTGCTTGTTGACGCAATGTCTTCAAGAATTCAGACGTTAAAATAAAGGTAAAAGATCACAAAAGATTTCAATAGTCTCGGTAAGGGTTAATTCTCCTGTGTCTCAGTTTGTCAATACAGTAAAGTAAAAATCCTGCTATACAGTTTTCTTTTTTTTTTGTAGTAAATGCTTTCAATGACAATCAATGAGAATGGTGAACAAATGATCCCTGACTCTGGCTTTCATTTCATTGTTTCTGGAGTGAACAATACGATGTGCATTGCTCCTTCAAGAATCAAAGGAATGTGCTTATATTTTAGTTTTATCAACATAACTTGACAAACAATAGCGCATGCTCCTTCAGTTATAACTGACCTTGACCCAGTAGAGACAGATTTGATTGGCTGGGTACGCGGAAGGATATCCCGGGGAAGTGATGTATCCATCATGTGTGATGATAGAATTACACTTGCTTGGGCTATCTAATAAAAGAAAGTATTTGTAACAAAATACATGGTTAACTAAAGAAAAATAAACTTTTTAAAAATAATCATGTTATAGAATACTTAGCTGCAGAATTATACCTCTTCAGTTGAGAAAATTCAGAGACAAACCAAATGCAATACAGATTTAAGCTTTGTAAAAACAAAATCTTCGATTTACAGGGACGATTTTTTTAAGCATTCTTCGAGTACTATATGCCTTTTCATCTAAAAACATGGCATCCGTTAACTAACCATACATTTTACTCATACACTAGATGCTCTATAAACTTGACTAACTCTCAACCGTCCCAAACAACAGGGCTCAACATGGACGTTTGAATGCATGTTTTTTTTTCCTTTGACGGTTGAAAAGTATAAATAAAGCAGTGGCGTAGCTAGCAAAATATCTACTGTATTCAAAAAGGCAAGGGGTCTGGGGGCCGCCTTGAGGCCCCCAGCGGGTCCAGGGCAAGGCCCTGGTGGGGATGGATTTTTAGGGTTTTATACATCAGAAAATTACCTTAAAAAGTTTAATTTTTACAATCATAGCTTTACCAAATATTTACAAAAAATTGCCAAGTTTTGATGATACACTTACAACTCCAAAATTCTTTTTTTTTTAAAAGCATTTCGTGTTATCCTGAAATAAGACAAAGCATTTTCAACAGTGGAAATCTTGCAATAAGTGTGTTTTCCGAAATCACAAACCTTGAATTTGTGAGGAGGATAAAATTGATATTTTCACAATTTTTTTTCCTAATGTATGCAGTGTGAAAGTAACAATCAGAATGCAAAGTACCACATGAAAGAACATCTCTGCTTTAATTTGATCAATTCTGAATGATAATTTTCATACTGAACATTCAAGACACACTGTTCTCACATTTTGTACCATAATAAGTGTTCTGTTATTTTCAAACATTTTTTTCCTTCTTGTAGCAACTTTACAATTACATTATCGCAAAACTGTTTTGAAATTTTCTGACGAAAGAGAAAGGCAGGAAGACCTTTATAGGCAGAAAATTCAATGTTCTACTTACATGTAGTAGTTGCTATAAAATTTGTTTTACAAGTTAAGATATCTTTAAATCATATTTACTATGAATTATATGAATTTATCTGAATTCTATATACCGCTTTATCCACAAACCAAAAAATATTCTCCATTTGTAACATGTTAAAAATTTAATTGGTTTGAAATAATAGTACACGTTTGCAGTTAATTATAAGGGGAATAAGAAAATAAAACGTATTAAATTATTTGGCTTATTTGCATTTACTTTGAATTGACACAACTTAACAATTAGCCCTTGAAATTCTAAAATGAATTTTTAAAACGATATGTACTCTGTATCAAAGATAGAAGCTTAATATATTACCGGTATTTTAATATATCTAGTACGTAGAGGTAAACAAATCGATGTTTTTTTTTTTATATAACCTATTTTAATTGAGTCTTGTATTGGACTTCTGACATGTTTTTCTTTTTTATTATTATTTCTTGTTAATTTTTTTTTTTTTGGTAAAAAATCTGTGTATTCATTTGCGTTTTTGCGTAAAGGGCGCTACGCCACTGTAAAGTCACAAGATTAGGAGGAAAATTTGGTAAACTGGTATGGATAAATAACGGATACCCATGTTTTTTTTATTTTTTGTTTTTTTGTTTTTTGTTTTTTTTTTTTTTTTTTTTTTTTTTTTTTTTTTTTTTTTGTTTTTTGTTTTTTTTTTTTGGCGGGGACGCATACAGTAAGAATACCCAAAGCGTACGGCAAATAAACGTCACCCTCAATTAAAGGATTTTACAATGCTTGAATCTGTACTTCTCATGTTTGTCTATCCGAATTTCCTCCCCAAGAGAGATCAAGTTCTGCAAATTCATGTAGGAAAGGACTAGAAAATATCATTGACTTTTTTGATAATTATACAATAAGGGCCGTTTTTCAAAACAACTTATGACTAAGACCAAAATCTCATTCTGCTAATACCTTTCTTATTTACCGGGGGTATATTAACTGAATAATTGTTTTTATCTTTTTGAAAGCTATATAGAAAGATATTTTATGCTTGCAATTTTTAACAGAATCCTTAATTTTGCATAAGTTTACAATCAACTGAAGTTTTTGGTCTTTGTCGTAAGTTCATTTATAAAACGTGTCTTAGGTTTCCTTCATCTTGATGAGCATATGTAAATATAAAATAAAATAAAATAAATTCAGTAATTAAGTAATGTGTATAGTTTATTTTTTTTCATGATCCCTATAAAACACTCAATGATTTTGTCAATCTTTTGTTTCGTTACATTTTTTTCACTGATCCTATACTTGCTTATTTGCTGTCTTTGAAGAATACATTAATTTTGTAGTTCAATGATCAATTCATATATGATCTTTGGTTTATGCAAAGGAATAATTACACATGTAAAACTAGTAAGTTACAGAAGTATTGACTTGTAGAAGAAAAAGCTTTGATAGGAATTTCTTGTTTAGACAAACTTTTCAATCGATGCTTTTAAGACGTACAATTTTTTCCGTTTTAGTGTTGTTGCTTAACTGGTTTCTGTGATCGTTATGAAATTACAAACAAGAAGGGTACTAATTAACTTCTGTAATCCTGAACTTTTAATTGAAATGAAGTAACGGCGATAACGAGTCGTATTCAAGCTTATAAGCTTAAAAGTTCATTTATACATTACACATTATGGGACAGAGCAAACAGGGACCTCTAAAATCATTGAAGGTTGGGATTAGGTGCCATAGAGAAAGAGTAAGCATTCCCTGTAGATGGTCATCCTTTGCATGATCAGAGAAGCTGTAGACAATTCATTGTGTAATTAATGGCTACACAATTGGTAAAAAAAATTCAGTCAGCATTTGTCCTAATGATGAACTGTATTTTCTGACAAGGATATATTGTATCAGAAATAGAACTTGCAAAATGAAGAGATAAAACGAGACTGTTGATGTTCTTGTTTCATCAACTTGTTTTATCAAAATTGATCGTACATGTACATAAAGAATGCTCTTGTGTATCGTCAACTAATTATAACAAACATAAACCCCATATGTATGCAATATGGATATATTGTTACATAAATAAAGAAAGTTGATTGAAAAGTTGAAACCATCAAGTTTGTGATAAAGCTTAATTTGTTTTTAGGTTACAATTAACGTCTTTTCCAAGTAAAATATCTAAATATGAAATAAATATGTCAGTCACTTTTGTATCATTTATTTCAAGTTCTTCTGGAAATATCGAGTCGAAATATGATTGGAAGTAACCACTTGTATTGTTAATTGACTCTATCAATCAATATATCTAAATGTTGAGTTGAAGGACAAGTGTTTCCTCCTTCTCGTGTAGAAAATTTCGAATAATTATGTAACTGCTTAAAATTGAAATGAGCTTGTTTAATTTAAATATAATCATATTTTTTCTTATTTTTCAACTGGCATTTATGTGAATGAGTCTTACATTTTGATTTCAATTTTTTTAAATTTAATTTTCAATTCCATAAATTTTAAAATATATTCAATTTTATGTCATAAATTGCTTATATCAATCACTTTCAATGGAGAATTCTACAACAGTTCTTCACAACTAAATCCTGAATGAACTCAAATAAAAAAAAATCCTGTAGTAAACTCCGCGTGATTAAAGATGTCATTCTTCGTCTATGTACAGAAGTAATAAGTTTTCTCCTGATGTCCGCCAAGGCTTCTGTTACATTAAATCGTGGTCCGATTCCTTATTTCTGTCAGTCAAAGAATCTTAGGATAAAAAATGCTTTTGTTTATTGCAACCACTGACGGGGTTCAACAGAAATATACCAGCAGGATTGAATTGGTTTGGACGCATTTGAATGACATGAAGTCCTACAAATTAGTTATACGAGTAAATGACTTCCAATATCGAAATTCAACAGCATTGAACAGATATAGAAATTTACCATGGTACACAATTCAATGCTATAATAGAGCCATGTTTCTGTAACCTGAAGTTCCTAATAAGAAGTGATTTTTATGCCACACCGTAATTAAGAGAATCGGGGGTATATAGTTTTTGGCTTGTCCGTCTGCCTAGCTTTTTGTCTGTTTCAGGTAATCTGTTTGTCCACGGGTCGTAAAACAACATACAACCAAACAATCAAATTCTTTTCGACCTGTAGAGTATACATAATCTATGCGAAATAGCGTTTTCTACTGTAAAGTGGAATTCTCTTTAGCTTCAAATGCATAATTGCTTGGACCCTGAGGTTAAACCGGATGCCATATTTTCCAAAAACAGAGTTTAAGACAACAATTCGCCTTATTCGAACTAGAATATGCTATTCGAATTAGAATATGCTATTCACTGGCTTTTCTCGCTTTAAAGTTTGCATATCGTATTTTTTATATTCATTGGATTCATTGGCGGATCCGAATTTCTCTCTTATATATATAGATTTATATATACAAATTAAACATTGATTCTATGGCACAAACATTTTAAAAAGTAGAAAGAACGTACAGTATATAATAGATAACTTAACAACTTGAATTAAAAGCTTCATTCAACGACTATAGTTCTAGCTTTTAAAAGACACAAGTCTTCAGTGGCATTAGTTTTGTGCACCAAGGCTCGCAAAATATTTTGATATACATGTACGACAATCCAAATACAGCTTGATAAAGGCCTATAGTAATGTTTTTTGTATGTGGGGGAGGGGGGCACGAACCTTACTACAGACTATTCACTAAACCTACAAATTTTCTCTAGAACATATGAATTTGCAGCCGTTATGGGTTACATGTATCAAAATAGCCCGATTTTTAAAAATTACATAATAATAGTCCAATCGTAAAATTGCATGAAAGCCTAGGTCACGAAAGTCATTAATTGTAGAAAATGTGAGACCATCACTATTCACTAAACCTAGAAATTTTCTCTCACTGAATTTCGGTAAGAAACACATGCAAATGGTCCACGTATTGCAGTCTTTTTTTAAGGACAGCAACTTGTTAAAAAGTATTAAATTTAATCATTATTGTTACATGTACATAGGGCCCATGACGGGTGTAAAACGGCCAACAGGGGATGTTGGAGAATTTTTTTACTCCTGTAGAGAGGTCACCATATACCGTAAAGGGCTTCAAATCTAATCTTTACTAGGCACTTTTTATCCACTTAACTTCATTGTCGAGATATAAAATTGTACTCAGACTATATTTATAGTACGATATTTGAATTACAAAGCATTTATTTCCCAACATGAGCTTTTTCTGCTATCTCTACAGACATATTTAAATTTAATTGGTTTTCTTCTATTGTATCCGTGCCTAAAATTAAAGAAATTAAGTTCGAGAATGACGCAAGTCCAATTCTCATATATAGAAATAATGTTCGGCATAAAGAGTGCATTGTATGTAGGGATTTTGTATATAAATTCTTAGGGGTAAAAAGAAAAGAAAAGTGTAAGATATTTTTGAACGGCAGTGTGGGAGACTGGCTTCCTCGATTTGAAATCATAATGGCTTTATTAAATTAAAAAATAACTACATGTATATTTTGATGAATTTGAAAAACTGAGTTTAAAAAGTCCTCAGAGTTTTTTGGGTGTGTGTCTAAGAGTAATGTTGAGTCGTTCTTTGTATCTCTTTTTATATATTGGAATATAATAAAAATCATAGATTGGATATCTGAGTTTTAATTTCTAGACCCGTTTGAAACATGTTTGAGTCCGCATTGTATTTCATGAAAGCTTGTTTTAATCGGACTTTTTAATCATTATATTTATAAGTCGTCAGATATTACATTTGAATTTCCATACGGTATATAATAATGGTTGACAGGTGAATAAGAAAATAAAGGTACATATAATTTTTGTCTAACAACTTATTTCAATTAATAGAATTTATCCACTTTATATGATTATTACCTGTAGGGACAGTTTTGAAAGACAACTGGAATCCCCAGTCCTGGAAGAATCCATCGGAAACAAAATATAGGAAAACCCTATTCGACTCAGTAATCAGTCTGAAAGGTTTATAACCACAAAACTTGCCAACAGAAGCAGAAATGTTCTCAGAACCGTCACGAATTTCCAGGTAGTCCCAGCTGAAAAAAAACAAAGTGTACTATAATTGGAAAAAAAAAATAAAAAACATGAAATAGGCCAATTTGAATCATTAGCATCTCATGCTCTTTTCGAGGATGCTCTATGAAATCATGATAATGTGTCATGGATAGGACAATATGACTGTCTACTATATGAATCGCTTGGGATTTCCAAAGAAGAAATGCAATTGATTATAGTCAACTTAAGATGTCAGATAACGTATAGATTTTGTAATAATTATAGCTTTTTTTTTTATTTCTTCCATTTATTTACTTGAATTGTCTCAAAAAATTGTAGCAAATTTATTGAATATGAGGATGATAACATGCAAAAAGCAAAAATAGGAAACTGAAACGAAATGTAGATATATCTTCAACATATACAAAGGGCCAAAAGCGCGACCATTTTTTTAATATGGACATGTAATTGAATAGAATTCACACTTCTAACCCCCAGAAATCCAGTTGGTCTCAGTGCCATTTTAGAAGAGGATAAGTTTTATGTTCCTATTCAAAATCAAATGTCCATAAAACAATACACAATAAAAAAATAAGAGCAGAGCAAACAAGGACCTTGAAACATCCGCGATGGGATCAGGTGCCATGGAAGAGTGAGCATCCTCTGCCGACCGGTTACACCCACCGTGTGCTCCTTGTCATGATATGAAAATAACAAAAAATCCGTCGTCAATTCAGGGTATAAATAATGGACTAACAGTTGGTATGAAAAACGTCAGTCAGCATTTGACTCAATGATAAATTGTATTTTCTGACAAGGTCATTGTATCGACCATAGAACTTACGAAATGATGACTTTCAACGAGACTGCTGATATTCTTGTTTCATCAACTTGCTTGTCTATAATTTACCTCGTTTAAGAAATTGTTCATACGTAGAGCATGCTCTTGCGTACCATATCAACTGAGATATATATACTCCGTATGCAGTTGATGAAGGTATATTGCTGCATAAGTAAGGGAAGTTGACGATAGTAAAGTTATCACGTTTATCATATAGCTTAGTTGTTAGATTACCATTAGTGTCTTTTTCAAGTAAAATATCCAAGTATGAAACAGAAGTGTCGGACTCTGTGGTATCTTTTATCTCAAGCTCATATATATGATATATCCTCTGATTATCAGGTATCTCCGAATCGAGAGTAAGTTTTATGTTCCTCGATCACAAAGTTATGGTCTGGTATTTATTTTTTTTTAACAAATTCAATGAAACTATTTTTTTTTTCAAATGCAAGAGCACCAATGTCTTAGTTTGATCATTATGGCTACAGGCAAATTGCTTCAAGGTCGGTGTGAAAATTTCTAGTGAAACGTTACTTCTGTACCAATTATGAATGTCAGATAATCCTAATCAAGTTTCATTACAGATTCTTCTCAAAAATACATATACAGTAAACCCGTTCTAATCGGGAAACCACTGGTTTAAAGATCGTATTAGACATCATTCCGGGATAGAAAATATTTAAAACATTAGAATTTATTGAAAGGGACTTAACATCGCAGTAGACGACATTTCGGAGTATACAACATGTGTACAATCCCACTGTATTTATTTCTTTATAACTCACGTGCAACCAATTTTGCAAGTCACCCATTCAGTGACAAGGTAAGTTCTTTAGCCGTTATTTCCCAGCGGCAATTTAAGAATGGCGCGTACAGCGTCCCGCTCTGTGGTGGCACCCTGATAATGCCTGTCGTTTCCTCCTCAAATATACCTCCACAAAAATCATCTAAAATAAAGCAAATTTGAAAAATTAATGTTGATTTGCTGTGGAATATAATATTTCGGGTTTTGAATGGGAGATTTTTATAATATTGTTATCCGTACTTTTGAGCACCCTGCTGGATTTGGTTTACCTGAACCTTTTCAGGTTATCTATTAGACCTCTCTAATTACCCAGATCGAGTGATTTATGTGGATTTTAATTATTTCAATTTATATTTTTTCAATCTTCAATATAGATTGATCTTTTTCCTAAATTTCTTCCCCCTTTTTTTAAATTATAAAATATGTTTATAGTTACATAATCAATTATATATCTTAGGTACGTTTTACAAAAAAAAATGTCTATAAGAAAGTTCTTGATATTTACTTCTCAGTCATTACTTCCTGTATTTTTATGCCCCCACGCCGTAATCGAATGTTCGTGGGTATACATGTATACTGAAAGGATTAAGAAACGCATATTAAACTTTTGAGATAAATTAAAACAATTATTTCAAATATGTTTTTCAGCATTTTTATCATACATTTTAATTCATCTTTAATCAACAAGTTACCAAAATTCTGTGCGAATTTGAGGGATAGTTTCTGAGATATTGATATCAATATGGTGACACCCCCCAAAAATAAAACTAAAAATTCTCATAATCTCCTTTTCGCATCAGTAACAAACTTGATTTTCCTGTGCATTGAGTTCACCAGAGCATTTATTTTTTCATAGCATTATTAGTCAACCCTTCCTATGATAGTCTTAATGGCTGAAATTAGCTGTATTATTCCAAAGTCAATAAATCCCCCCGCTCAATCGAATCTACAATATACAGAACCCAGCAGGTTTGATACTTGTGAATGTTTAAAAGAGTATCGACAAATATTAGCTACATTTTTTCAGTGTAAACATGCTAAAAAACATTGCGAAAACGACGCGTACGTGCGCGCTTGAAATAAAATCGATAAGCTGGCCAAGCTCGCGGCCCAAATTAGAGCGGAGAGTTTTAATAGTTTAGGGTGAAAAAAGTGATTGTTTGTCTGCTGTATAAATATCAGTTTCGGTGATAATGCCTTGACAATAACCGAGGTGGCGTGATGAAAAGCCCTATCTTGTTGTGACGTTGGTACGCGCCAACGTCACCGTCATGGTTGGTTGGAAACATTTTAAGTTCACTCTCTGACAACCAAAAAAAAAAAAACTTTTATTTTGTTGAAAAGTTGAAAACAATCTGTACATCAGCATGTTTTTGCCTTTTTATTCACTTATGCAATATTTAATTCAATTACTAAACCCACAGTAGATTGCGTAAGCCATACCACGATTGCAAGAAATTTATACTGACTGCAAATATGCAAAAACGATGACTATAGTTCTAATGCATAGTATGGTACTACAAAATTTTATTACAAAATTATCATCATTAACATGCACGTGTTTTTGATTTTTTATCATTTCCCCTACGTGATACCATACATTTCACGGTTGAGTAGTTTTGATTAGTGATTTTAGTGCAAATTAAGTAACCAAAATAAACATCTGACCAATTTTCATAATTCTCGGTCACATAGTCAGAAAATTTTCCAATATCATGTTCTTGTGCGTTTCTTTTTCCTTTCAGTATACTTTGTAGTTTTTGCCTTCATTATTTCTTTTTTTCTTTTGCAAGTGTTATAGATCAAAGTAGGCCTATTTATTTAAGTTTTCCCTAATAAATATTTTTCCACATTCGCTGTGATCATGAAGACGTGGACTTTTATATTTATTTATGTCGTTCGACGAAATCATGTACTTGTACTTTAGAAATTAAAAAATATCGAGATATAAATGAATTGCAGCTCTATTCATCATGTTTTTTTTTCTTTTTCTTAATATGTAAATTACATGAAGTACATGTATATATGTACAAGTGTTATATATACATTGTATGTGCAAATACACAGCCACGTGACATTTTTCAAATTCCATCTTAAAGTAAGGACTCTTCACATCACAGCTCTCAACTTTTTTTCATCCCCTAAGAAAACATATTATTATGAACTGCACCTTTCTCTTTATTGCTTTGATGCCATAAAGAAACTGTTTTAATTCAGGTGAATTAAAAAGAATAATTTTAGAATATCTATTTGTATCGCTTAGCTGTGTGTTTAATATGAGTCAAAATTTAAAAAAAAAGTGAAAAATAATAAAATGAAACACGATACAGCTCGGGCTTAAAAAGAAATGCTTTAGGTTTATACTTAATCTGCACTTCTTCTCATACTCAAAACCCTGCGACTTAAGACCAAATTCAATCCTTCATATAACTTTTTAATTTACATTATATCAAAAATTATTTTAAACTCTTAAAAAAGAATGTTGCAAGATATTATTACACAAAAAAATTAAAATAAAATTATTCATTTTGCTAAATTTTAGAATCATCTGAAGTTATTGGTTATAGTCGTAAGTTCTTTTGTAAAACGGGACCCTTATATATCCAGTTAACTTTTCGTTCTTTCCCGTGCCCTTTCGTAGCCTTAAATGACTCCATGCTTTTTACCTCTCTTTCCACATTAAATGCGGTAAGTAAGTGTTTACAATACCTTTAACTGTCACAGAATCCCCTGTTTTTGAGACAACCAGTATGAATAGTGTCCATATATAAGGGAACATATTTCTGACATATAAAGTTGTGCTCTATATGCAAAAGTACAAGTCAGACAGCGGAAACACTCCACAAGAGTGTGTAGAGTAACTGAACTTTGACATAAGTACTCACATTCTTTTAACTGGTGTAAGGTCCGTACAAAGAAAATTGGGGTGCTGGGGTGTTTGCTGAAAAACCATTGACAAACAGAACAAGTCATTACATATTGTAACTAAGAGGGCATAATTATATTATACTGAAAGCTATAAAGGAGAACCATCAGAAGAAAGATTATGTATAATTTTTGCTCTAAAGATGAAGTAGAAGACGAGTACCACTTTACATGTATATTACATTTGCCATAGCATTGTGTCATGTTGTAAATTTTGAATTTACCGGTGGCAGTAAATACAACAATTTTATAATTTAATGAAAGCATTCCTTGGAATTGTAACTTTCGTTTTAATTTTTCCTGGGCAGACCTAAAAAAAGATATATATCATATACAAGTATATAATGCATGCACATTCAATTTAAAAAAAAAGAAAAAAAACTTTGCGATGGGCCCGGAGTTTTGATATTTAATAATGTATTACATATATCTTTATAATAAATGATTTATTTTCTTTAATACATATTATATGCATGTACTTGCAAAATCATATAAATTGTCCTATGCAATCCCGTTAGAGAATCAGGGTGAAAATCGGTCATAATGCTTGAAATTCATTAAAATAAAATAAAACCGACTTCGTCTAATTATACAACTCATCACAGGGAAAAGGATGAAAAAGATGATTTCAAACCTTAAAATTATTTATCCGATGACTTGGCACAAAACATGCATTTCATTCAGTTAATTATAATTCATTTCATAATTCATGTTTTATCTTTACATGTACATCATTGTTCACCCTAGTCGATCATTAGACAACTTTTTTCTCTGCATGCAAAGAATATATTTTTAAAAAATGAAAATGTAAATATTTTGGCTTTCATAAAGTCTTGGAAAATATTATTACAATCAAAGATATTATAAGAGGAGGATCTAACTCTATCACAAACTATGAAGTGGTTTATCTCTGTCTGTCTCTCTCAAAGAAACATTTTGAAAAAAAATTGAAATGGATAAAGACGAACAACATATCAGATATCAGAATCTATACTATGCATATATATGTATTATTGAAGTTAATATAAATACATTGTACAAACAAAAAAATTGATCTGTGATGAATCGGAGCCAGAGGTCGGTGTTTGTTGTCCACATACTAAAAGCAACTTGTCAAAAACGATAAATGTGAATATAAACAAAACAATATTATTCGCCTTATGATTCAATCTTATTCTAATAAAATTTGTAACTTTTATTAATCAAATAAGTTGTATAGGGTCGGGTTCAATTCTAAATTTGGCGGGAAATAATTGACGTCAAAGTATCTACGGAGATTACGACCAAGTGATTTTAACCAATGAAATGTCTGTTTACAAACGTGTTCATGAGACTAGAGGAGGATACATCGTAATTTCGTTCCAGTGTAAGTGTTATCACCTGTAAAATTTCGGATAATTGCAATATTTTACGGTATGTTATAAAGGACTCTACCCGTTGGGAATTCACTGGTTGTATATGTTGCACCATCACTGTCATGTTGTGCATGAATGAAATATCTGAGCCGGGATTTCGTTCAAAATGGCGATGGCTGAAACTCCGCTTATGGGATTTGTAAATGATATGCGAGGAGCATTTGCTAGAGTGGGCTTTTTGCGTTTTTAAATTATGTGTTATTTAAGGACACAGAGAATCATTGAATATTTGAATAGAAATTAGCTGTAAGAAGGTAAATGTCAAGTGGACACTGTTAAAATTAGATCTGGTTACCGGTTGTCGCTCCTATCCGGTGATCTGTGAAGTATCCGGACGTCAAATATCGTAAACAATGTTTACGTCGACAGTCTATTTATTCTTTAAAATTTAGGGGGTGTGACATTACTTATATATTTTTATTTGTAACGACAGTTGAACAAAGACGGCTGATAAGATATTCCTTGATGATATTGGATAAAAAATATCTTTATTTAAAAAATTGGATAGGTACTTGATCATAGGAGTTTGTTTTCGCATCAGGTGTGTGGGATATAATAGTCTGTTTGGGATATAATATCCCAAATGGGCTATAAATTTACAGTGCAAAAAATGAAAAATTTAATTTTGGCTATAGATATCATTAATCCGCATTAGGACACTTAAAACAGAATAACTGTTGGTTGACAAGTTTTTCTGCAACCCTACAGCATGATCCCCAAGAAGTTATGTGAAATGCAATGGGCATACAAAAAACTTGTACACTTATTCCGTGTTATGTGTCCTTATGCGGGTTTATGATATTTATAGCCAAAATAAAAATTTTCATTTTCTGCAGTTTTTTATTATATCCATATAAGGACTGAATTTATAACAACTTGTTCAGTATATATCTGCTAAAACTTCTTTTTTTAATGTTCTTTTGCATGGTGTGAAATGAATGCATAGAAATATGAATATATGCATGCAATGGCAGTTTATCATGCTCACCTAAGTACTTTATTTATAATGACTTGTTCAGAAATAAAGATTTAATTCTTGAAAAGAAGTTGCATTTTGGAAATTTAAATTTATTTCAAGCAGAAAAAAATTGTAAGTTCACTGGAATTTGAATGTCAATGAGTTAATATTAAACATTGATATTCCAATATCTTTAAAGAATAAAGATCAATCTTTTTAAATCCTAATATGCAAGGAATCATTGTAATCTGGTATTACGTAACAGTGCAATTGATTGCATTGAAACACCTCATTTAACATGCCAAGTATTTTTTTATGCTTAATTTGTCATGTACATTATTTATGTGCTAGCCAAGAGGTGATCTTTCTTACACTTTTTTTCTGGTTTGTAATGAAGTCTTGGCTGTCTTGTTTTATCTTGCTGTAGGGGATAAGGAAAACACAGATTAGACTTGTTCATGTGGTTAAAAAGAGACTGAATTGTCTGATGTCAGAGAAAAATAATTGAGGTCTTCATTAATATGATATCTGTCAATATTGGATGTAGAACGTATAGATATCTATTCATTGGTCATTTAGTCTGTTGTATTTAGCATGTGTGAATAGGCAGAAATTGTCTTGAATGAATGTATTAATCCTATACATATGGTAAGAATCAGTAATTTTATAGATCAGAAGATATATTGGAAGTTAATTGAAAGATGATGTGCAAACAATATTAGCAACCAGCAAGCCTGAATATCAGTTTACAGGATGGTATTTAGTCCTTGTGTATATAGAAGTTTACAAAGGCCATTTTGATAACGAATTATTTGGTTCTATCGGTGTTTTCTTGTGGATTAATTAATATATTATTACAATCACAAAGGAAGAATCATTTTGATAGAGATTGGAGTCTACAACATGCCTTGAAACATGCTTTGTAATGCATAATTTGTAAATTGTTGATCTGTGATTTGAAGGATGAACAAAAATGAACATCCTAAGTTATATGAAGTGTTTGCCTATATATAACTACATGGTAAATATGTAACAATAGGGGGTATTCTCCAAACATTCTGCATGTCTAATTGAGCATACATGATCATGCATTGATACAGGAACTTGTATACTAGCAGTAGCTGACCTACATAAGATATTGTACATGTATTTTGCAGATTTATCAAGTTGGATACTTTAAATAGTAGATGTTTGTACTTTTTCATGAATTTGATCTATTCATTTTCAGGTTTTAAAGTTATCATTGGACATTCTTGTAACATAACAAGGTACGTAAAACGTATTACAAGTGTCCTAGTTAATTAATCTTAAATAGTTATTTTTAGAAGAAAATAAAGAAAAAGGGGCCATTTATTTAATTTATTAACCAGAAATATATTTGATGATATGTTGTATTTTCAACAAAACCCACCCAAAACATGTACTATGCATTAACCATGTTAACTGAACCTTATTTATTAATACTATCCAATCACACAATTTAGTTTACACATGTTGAATCATATGATCTGGCCCTATGTATTAATAGCACAACTATTCAGTCAAAAATAGCAATCATTCAGTGTTTCAGTAGCGATGTATTTAAATTCATTGAAGCGTGTGCCTCCCTCACTATAGACCTTGGACTAGAATGTAGATTATGTTTGTACAATCGGTCCGCGACTTTGTAAAGGGGTGGAGCTTTACCTCAGTTACCTGAAGCAGGTTATTTATGAAGGCGAATTTTAATATCTGTTTAAATAATTGTTTCTTTTATTATAATATTCTAGATCTCATTGTGAAAACTGAGAAGTTAGAATTTGATGTAATAACATCTTATTTTTTTAAATGCAATAAAAAACAGAAGAAGAAATCTTCAGAAACATTTACTGTCTAATATAGTCTGAAAAGGTATTTAAAGAATTTTTCTACTGGTGTCAGTGACCTACTTTTTAACTAAAACAGTATCCTTAAAAAGAGTATCCTCTAAAAAGTCGTATTACATATGAGCAATAAATAGCTGCGTGTACCCTTATCAATCTATTTTTGGTGTTAGGTGAATGACTGGAAAATTCCAGTGACAGGAAATTAAATATTTTGGCCCCTATTCTATGAGGTTCATCGATTATTTGACGATACTATTCATCGGCGGCTAGGGTATTTTTTAACACCCTGTCTCTCACTATTTGTAATCAAGCACTAATGAAACCTAGCTAGTGAAGAATATGGTGGAAACCAATATAGCTTTTGTTGGCATCCGTGGACAATATTCACAGTATGGTATAAATATATGACATACTTGGGTCTGATCGAGAGGGGAAAAAAAATAGTGATCAATACGTATATATTGCTGTTTGCCTTGAATAACACTTGCTGCGTCAGCTTTATTTCAACATTGTTGTCTCCTATTGCAAAATGTTTAATGACCGAAAAAAGGAAATTTAAGAATAGGACTGTTAGCACTTGCACAGTGAGTAAGTTGGACAGTAAAATGAAATAGATATGCAGGGACTGGGCAGATATATTTGTGAAGTTTGAAGTAAAAAATTGAATTAGTGG